ATATAGACCTTTCATTATTAATTATATTCAAAGACTAAGAATCAACTATTTCATTCTCATGCGATTTTGTTTTTCTTACTATATATATCCCATGTATATATTGAAATTCTTATTGTAGCGGTGGTAGCAATTATATAATTAAATAGATTGTAAATATTGACTATCTTAAATGTTAAAAAAATTGAATAGTTAAAAATAGAGTTAATTACACTGACACCTCTGAGTTTTAGTGAAATTACACAAATCATCTCTCCATTTTTGTCATTACACGATCTCCCTTTTAAACAAATCACCCCAATTTTATACATAAATTACACTACCCACCCCTAATGAGATATAAATGTAATATTTTAAACAAAAAACGTGTGGTGAGTGTAATTAAGTTAAACAAAATATTATATATTGTCTAGACAATTCCAAATAGTATAAAACTGAGTGTCTTTTTATTATTATGCAATATATTAGCAATTCTAATGAGATGTTTATATAACCCTTATACTATTTGTAATGAACCAAATAATAAATATGCATTTACTCTTATATTATTTAGATTTGTCTACACAATATACAATATTTTGTTTAACTTAATTACACATTACATGTTTTTTTTTAAATATTACACTTATATCCCACCAGGGATGGTCAGTGTAATATACGTACAAAATTAGGGTTAGTTCGTGTAAGAGAGAAGGGTAGTTCGTGTAAGAACAAAAAAAGAAGGAATAATTTGTACAATATCACTAAAAATCAGGGATGTTGGTGTAATTAACTCTTAAAAATAAATTCTAACAATTACAAATATCTTAGTGCAAAAACCAACCACCAATGCAACATCATTTTACCATTTTATTTACTAGTGTCAATATAATATATTCAAGTGGAACATTAAATTGGAAGAAAATATATATAAAATTTAATATGTTTAATTGGTTAGAATGTCATATCCAATTAGACAATAGTTAAAAATTATAGATAAATATATAACTACATATATTAAAAACAATTATTATCTATTTTGGAATGATTTCTTAACAAAAAAAAAACTAGAGGTGTCAAAATGGGCTACTCGGATGGGTTCGGGCTAAAAAGTCCAGATACAATTTATGTATCTCAAAATGTAGCCCAAACTCGCCCTAAGCGGGTTGCGAGTTGTGGCAGGCCGGCCCGCATATTATTAAAAAAATTATTTAAATTTTAACATATTTAATATATTTAAGGGCGATGATCCACTTACTCCAAGAGTAAGTTTTTTAAACTTACTCCACATCTTAGCTATCAATTTTAGGGAAATCCAATGGTTTAGATCTACCCACTAATTCAAACCATTAGATTCCCTAGAATTGATGACTAAGATGTGGAGTAAGTTTAAAAAACTTACTCTTGGAGTCAATGAATCTCTCCTCTATATTTAATATATATATCATTTGATATTAATGCATAAATTTTTTAACACAATTGTTATACTCAATACAACCAAACTTATAGATATAATGTGTGAAGAAGATTTTGCTCCTGACCTTGGCACGGTTTTGATGAAGACACCAACAACACAAAAAGAAAAAAGGAAGAAGACCTATCAAGACTAAAGAAGATGAAGATTCAAGATTTAGAGTCTAAGTCTTTTAGGTACTTCTATCATAAAACTCCTTTATTACCTTAGTTAATAATGCTAAAAAATGTTTTCAAGATAATCAGAAAATTCTAAGTGTGAATAAAAATAATTTTCAAAAACAACATGTAACGGGTTATTGTACTTGAGTAACAAGTTACATGAGTGAGAAAAGAGTTATCCATCCTCCAAACGGCTAAGAGTAATCCTACTGTCTTTGAAGTAACAGATTACCATTTTGAGAAAATAGGGTAATCGATTACTCAAAGAGCTGTAATCGATTACTCAAAGAGCTGTAATCGATTACACTAAGGCAATTTCACAAAACTGCTGGATAGTACCTTTGAGTAATCGATTACTCAAATACGGTAATCGATTACACTATATGAAATTCGAAATAGTTGTTAACAGGATTGTTGGGTAATCGATTACCCACTTGCTATAATCGATTATTGAGAGTTGTTGTATCAATTTTTCAGATTTCAAAGTGAAAATGTTTCACTCAAAACTGTTTTGTTTCATTCCAAACGAAATCTACACTTCCCTAGAGGTGTTATGGTTGATTGGAAAGCTTATATAAAGGTATTGAAACACTCTTAACAATAACACAACTTAGATTACAAACTCTCATTGAAACTCTTATAAAGCTCTCACACTTTCTGAATTTTCTGCACTTGTAAGCAACATACTCTCGAACTTTCTAAGTTATTTCAGAGTTGCTTCTAAGTGTATTTCAAGTTTTTCAAAGTACTAAGAGCATTATTATCTATCGTATAAGAGTTGTTTTTGGATTGCAAGTTAAGAATTGTCATATACACTTGTAAAGGCAATCCAAGTCATATTGTATATTCTTCACTTTTGCTAAGTACACTTTCTTTCACAAGGGTGTGAAGAGAAATGGGTTGAGTGACTTGGAATAGTGTTTTCCAAGGGTGTTACTTGGAATAGGGTTTTCCGATGGATTAAGTATAAGTGAGTGTGTAAGGTACAAGGAGATCTCGGGGTGAGATATTTGTAATTGCAACTCATTATATTTAATAAAGGAATCTTTTGCGCGTCAAGAGTACTGGACGTAGCCTTCGGTGAACAAGAAGGTGAACCAGTATAAAACATATGTGTACTCTCTTCTCCTTATCTTTTTATCTTTCAAAATCATTATTTTTTTGCATACTTTTTCCGCTGCTCTTTAACTTTGATATTGCAGAAAAATTGGCTATCATTTTGCAACAACTAATTCACCCCCCCCCCCCCCCCCTCTTAGTTGCATTCTCATTCTTACATAATCACTTTGGATTATAGTAATGGTAGTATAGACTCAAATTCAGAAATGAATTCAATGATTTAAGTATAATCACCATCATAATATTTCTTTACTTTGTGTATGTATATCTTTTGTATGCTCTTTAGTCTTTACTAACACTTTCATTACGAACTGTTATGTTAAATTTGGTTGTGTAGAGTTCTCTATTGTAAACAGTTAAGTGGTTTGTCAGTTCGTTGTAAAAGTTATTTTCTTTATTATGTTTTTGTTGTAGAAGTTAAATCTAATTAAATATACAATTAAGAAAAGAAAAATGGAATCTATATGGTTTAATGTTCTCATTTAATTTGATACATTATTTTGCTAATGTGCTTAAAAAGATATTAAGCAAAATAGGAAAAATAATATAATGTTTAACTTGATAATTTATAAATATTTATGTTATAGTCATTACTCTATTTTTTATTCAAAATTCATAACACAATATTTATCATCTATTATCTATTTTTATTATAAGTTATTTTGTTAAATAATTTTCATCTTAAGCTTATTACCAAGCCAAAGGTCCAAAAAAGGTTTTAAAATAAGAAAAAACGGGTAGTCCGAACTCGTCCAGGTAAACCCGGCGCGAACCCAGTTTTAATATAGTCCGGCCATTTAGCATGGTTTCACTAAAAAGTGTCAATATAATACCCAAACCCTTCAAAATTTCGGGTTGTGGTGGGCCAGCCCGCATGGATCCACCCATTTTGACAGCTCTACAAAAAAAAAGAATACCATGATTAAAAAGTATACGAGGAAATACTAATTTACACACCTTCACATAGATGTTATGCGCCCTGTACATTTTGTTTTTTTAAGAAAACTCAGCCTTTTCTTTTTCATATTGACAATAGTTATACTATATTTTCACTTTAACTTAATTATTATTTTAACTTTTTTCTGTCACTAACCATTTTGCATTAATTCCTCTCTCTCATTTCACAATTTTCACAAGGTGCACCAACGGGAACAAGAATTGAAGACATTTGCATGTGTCCCCCATCCAGAATTGAATGCACCAACGGTTAGGAAGGTGTTAAGTCATTTGAATGGGTTTCATATCTTTCTTTTGTGCACAAAAAGTTTCACCTCTCTAAAACTGTTTTACTCTTTATTTTTCACTACCTATAAACTTCCTTTCTTCCATGTAATTTTTTTTTTCTTTCTAAAAAGAATTGATCAAGAGCCGGTTTAAAGTGGTTCCAACTGATGTTCCCGGTTTAAACTGATCTAACTGTGAGAATGGTCATAGGCAATTAACCGAACTGGAATGGAGGTCAACCAGTTTTTGTTCTGACCGATCTAACCGGATGTTTCAATTCAACTTTAACAATAGTGACTAATATGTCCTTTCAGTATCTTTTACCTTTATATGATAGTATAAATATTAGTTAATTTATCTTATATTATATGTTCACTAACAAATCTCATATCATCTTTGTGATCCTTATGCAATATTATTTTTGTTACAACTTCTCATGAAGAATGCTAGTACTTCATGTAATGTAGAAGAACTGTATTTTTCTTTTTCTTTGCTTTATTTTTTTTCCATTTTATTCAATTTTTGTTATTTTTTTATTGCTTCTTATATGTATAGTGTTTTTTTTGTTACAATTGTTTCTATTGGAGAATTCATGATGCTTCTTGGAACGTGTAAGAGATGTATGAGTAGGACTCCTCTCTATTAATGGAGAGTGGAGAGGTAAATGATTTTTTCATGTGTATTGTAAGGACAAATATGTAATCTTCTTTTAAATAAAAAGGACAAAAGTGACATTACATCTTCCACTTTCTTTAATCTTTTTGGATACTTGCCTCTTCATTAATGGAGATGAGTGTTATATTTACTTTTTGTTGCTTTTCTCTAACATGCTTATTTCTCCTTATCTAATTGTCCAATTTTTTATTGTATACATAGTCAATTTTGCTATAGTTGCTTGTGTAACATGCTTATTTTTTGTAACATGCTTATTTTCTTCCTTTTGGACATAACCTTTTTAGTTCTTGGAATGAAGAAGTTGTTTGTAACGACCCGATTTCTACCCTTGAAATTTTTTCGTTTATTTTAATCATTTCTTACATACATTCATCATCTTACTTAAAACCTTCAGGAATCATTCCTTAAAAATACTCTTTACGCATATTATATTATCATATAATTTAAATTGCAGAAAAACATAATTCATTCATTATTATTCTCATTGGGTACTAAGAGCCCAAAAGTTATAATACTCTAAATATAACAATACCCCTGGTTACGAATACCCAAATAAATGTCAGTCATGGTTACAATCATTCAAATCCACAAGTAGTCATTTAAAGTACAAAAACGCAAATAGTGAATCCAACGTCTAAAGCTCCTAAAGCTCCCGAACTAGCATACTCCATTCGTCTATTTACCTGCAATGGGATTATCAATGACAAAAGTACAAAACACACAAAGGAGTAAGTCGTTAATTCAATAAACGTCATTATAAGATAATCCACATTAGAAAAAGGGTTAGTAAACCAATTTCGAAATTCATTTTGTCTTGCTGCATAACTTGAGCCAAAGTCACTACACCCCTCAGGGTTAGCTAAAAGCAGATTCTCATCCTTTTTACCAATAAAACACGCCTCATAAACTCGGGCCGAAGTGTTGCTACATAAACTCGAGCCGAAGTCGCTACACCCCTTAGGGTTAGCTAAAAACAAATTCTCATATCTTTTATAAAGAAAACATGCCGCGTAAACTCGGGCCGAAGTGTTGCTACATAAACTCGAGCCGAAGTCGCTACACCCCTTAGGGTTAGCTAAAAACAAATTCTCATATCTTTTATAAAGAAAACATGCCGCGTAAACTCGGGCCGAAGTGTTGCTACATAAACTCGAGCCGAAGTCGCTACACCCCTTAGGGTTAGCTAAAAACAACTTCTCATCTCTTTTATAAAGAAACCATGCCGCGTAAACTCGGGCCGAAGTGTTGCTACATAAACTCGAGCCGAAGTGTTGCCTCATAAACTCGGGCCGAAGTGTTGCCTCATAAACTCGGGCCGAAGTGTTGCCTCATAAACTCGGGCCGAAGTGTTGCCTCATAAACTCGGGCCGAAGTCGCTAACCATTTCTGGTCGGCTAAAAATATATTTTTCCTTCCATCGATTTGCCATCAATCATTTCCCGTAAATCCACGTCATCTTTAGTATAAACACTCCATATCTGTTTATACTAATACGTGATTTACAATATAATTATTGCATGGCCAGGAAACACACACCTTTTCCATCTTCCGTAATTCTACGCCTACTTTAGTATAAACACATCCATATATGTTCATACTAAATGCGTAATTCACAACTCGATCATTTCATAACCAGAAAATATCCACATTTTCCTTTTCCGTAAATCTACGCATACTTTAGTATAAACACACCCATATATGTTCATACTAAATGCGTAATTCACAACTCGATCATTTCATAACCATAAAATACTCACATTTTCCTTTTCCGTAAATCTACGCCTACTTTAGTGTAAACACACCCATATATGTTCATACTAAATGCGTAATTTACAACTTAGTCTTTGCATAACCAGAAAATACACATTTTCTATTTCAAATGCAACATTAAAGACTTATCCTTACCTTGATGAGTGTTGGGTTCGGTTCTTGGCAACTTCTCGAGTTCTACCGACACCACCTCCAACCTTAGGATCTTTCCTCATCCCACCACATAACACAATGTTAGTCATTTATTCCAAATATCACATAAACAACTTATTTTGCATCATTTAATCATACAAAATATTCATCATCAATATTCAACCATCTAAAACATGCATAACATCTCATATTTCAATATTTCCAAAACTACTTCAATACAAGTTTCTAAATATCAAAACATACATGTTCATCTCATATAACAACATTAAAGCACTACTCATTATCCACATCTAACATTTCATCTCTTTCTCTTTATACTCATATTCTCATTTTGGGGTTTTTCATGAATAACCCATAAAACTTTCTATTCATCAAATACCAACTCTAAACCAAGAGTTTACAAGATAAAAACAACATAAAACGAACCATAACTCTAAAGAATGAGTTTCCATGGTTTCTCATGTTTTGAAAATAAATCCAACATACCCAAAACAAGTTAGAGAGGAAGAAGAAGAGTTAGTAACAAGAGGTTTACCTCTTCTCAAGCTCCAAGATGAGTCCTAAGGCTCCTTGCTCTTGAAAAGCTCTCATTTCTCTCTTCTCTTCGAATTCTTAACCTTAAAATGTATTTGGGTTTTTGTTTTAAAGAGGTGTCGTCGGGTTGTAATCGATTACCAACATTGTGTAATCGATTACAACGTGAAAAATGCGCATATCTGATGCTTTTAATACGATGTAATCGATTACCACGAGTGTGTAATCGATTACCATAAATGTGTAATCGATTACCAGCAATGTGTAATCGATTACCAGCAATGTGTAATCGATTACCAGCAACGTGTAATCGATTACCAGCAACGTGTAATCGATTACCAGAAACGTGTAATCGATTACCAGAGACGTGTAATCGATTACCAGAAATGTGTAATCGATTACCATAAATGTGTAATCGATTACACTGTGTCAGATGCACATATCTGATGCTTTAAATACGATGTAATCGATTACCAGCAGAGTGTAATCGATTACACTGTGTCAACAGCCCAAAATTGCCATTTCTCGACGCGAGAATCCTCCAGTATAGTCCAGGATTTCACCCTCCCAGCTGATCCTTTTTCGCTCAGGCGAGAATATCTCGATCAAGCGAGGCTTCCAGGACTGATACTATATTTTTAAAGATTAAAATTTGGGGTGTTACAATCCTCCCCCTCTTATAAGAATTTTCGTCCCCGAAAATTAAACATACCTCGGAAAATAAAATCATCACCTAGACCTTAGGCACAGGAATATTCAACCAAAATCACAATTCAATTCTCTAATCCATTAAGATTACTTAATCAGTCACTACGGGCATATACCACTAAATCACGATATCACCAAACCAATTCATGAACTAACTCCTCAATGTCCAAATGTTAAGATCTCAGCCTTTAATAACTCGAGTGCCATGGGAACTAATCCATAATTCAGACTAAAGATTTTTCTTATATCCATCAAGAACCATAGATCTCTAACACCTATCCATCTATCAATCCTAACATACGTTAAGAATTACGATAACACTCTCGAACTTCAGCGAATGGGGAACTCCTGATCCCATATCTATCTAAATGCATCTTTTAACATCCATCATACACTAGTTAGTCTCATCTCCACTCGATACTCTAGCATAATTTCATTTTACTAGATCCACAAAATACATACACAATTGAATTCTTAGTGTCTCATCCATTGTACACAATCAAACTATCCAGTAATTGTCTAATTACATAAAATATTTCTACCATCCACTGAAACCATAAAACCATTGATTCACACCAAAACTAGGTATTTTGTTACCAATCGGCAAGCACAAGTCGACCAACACTCAAACCTACAACTTGCGTTTGGTTTGGTCACCCCAATTCCGTTAGTAAATATAAACTTATTAATCCACTCGCATTATGTCCAGAAATACATGGGCGTCTTATATCACTAAACTTTTAATAACCTCATACTCATGCTATGTTTCACTCAAAACATTATTTAGCCACATGCTATGTTTCACCCAAAACTGATTTTCTCCAATATGACATTAAATCATTATTTAGCCACATGCTATGTTTCACCCAAAACTGATTTTCGAAAACGGTTTAAATCCACGACTCATGGCAACCACGTCGTGAAACAAGGTTCGCACGCTCATTTCGACACAACCCAAAACTTCTTCTCTCCTATGGTTACACCACACCCATACACCGCAATTACTGACGTTCACGAAACAACAACAACTTTTGCCGGTACACATTCAACGCAGACAATTTCGGATCACCACCACTATTTCATGCGTTGTCAATGTCCTACCGCAAAAGAACCGGTCATTCGAGACCAAAAGTTTCACGTCTATTCCATTGCATTCATCACATTGGCGGGGTAAGTAACTTAACTAGCCTTTTTTCTCGACTATCATTATAAGTCTTACCCTTTTGCACCCATATACATATCAATGCAACTAGATCTTAATTCTTCACCTCAACAAGTACACACAGTTAAACATAACACAATTTGTTGATCGATAGTCCATTTCTAGGATTAAATCCAACTGGGACATCATCGCGCATATCAACACTATAGTAAATGTTCTACCATTTATCCCAACCGTATACTGAGACACTCCCGATCCAAAATAAGTTTTTTTTTTTTTTTTTTTTTTTTTTTTTTTTTTTTTTGAGGTTCAACATCCCCGCACATAGCTTGGTGTTCAATACCAATATACATTTGTTACGGCGGGTACTCATCTTTAACAAAAAAATAAATTTCATAGACCATAAGCTTCATACACAAGAATCAAAAATAACTTTTTCATACTTAATTGATTTTGGGGTACCAACCATAGGTCACCTCAAAATGATAATACATCTGATTAGTCAACATCCATGTAAACACATTAGTCGCAAGGACCTTTAGGTAATTTATCCAACATCTATTTCATTTTCGAAATATGAGTTTCACCTCTTAGCGTGCGCATACCCACTAAGGCCAACAAAAGGAATTAACCTTTAACAACTCATAAGAGAAAACAAGTATCCCTGACTTAAACATTTTTCTTGTCAGTATACTTATTATAAAAATCAATCATTCATAGACGAAAGTCCACTTTCTAAGACAAAATAAATAGTTCTTTCAAGTCTTAACATCTCGAAATACTAACGAGTTCTTAAATACCCTCTTGTGACATTTACTGAGTGAATACCGATCCCTTTTTCGAATGAGGGTCCTGACTCACTTAGCCGACACTGGCACCAAACCACTAGCCTGGTCAGAGATCTCGCACAGATCCCAAACCGCCACAACCTTGTCAGCACTATTCAATCACAACATGATTTGCTGACAATTAGTCCATCCCCAAAATTATATCTAACAGGGATAACGACAAGCAGACTGAATCTACGGTAAATATCACACCATTTACCACAATCGGACACTAGAACATAAACGTCGACACCACCACCAGCACATAGATTGGGTGGTCACGACCAATTCGGAAGTACTGACTCAGTTTGCAATCTCAGCCAGTTTTTCACATTTAACACATATATCAGGGAGTGTGTCGCTCCCGAATTCAACAACACTAAACAAGGAATACCTGTCACCATGCAATTTACCTCTCGCCGGATCATCGACACCTGATGTCCCTGCACCATATACATGGTAACCATTTTGCCGATAGATTGAGGTCGTCCAGTCTCCATGGCATTCATACTCTGCCGTGACATAGGACAATACCTCTTGACATGTCCGGTCTCCTTGCAACGAGAACAGCGATTTGTCGTTCCAAAACACGATCCTCCATCATGTTTTCGATTACACTTGTTGCACCAGGATGGGGAGTTTAGCCGTGATCCCCCGGCATTTGCATGGGTCCTCGGCCCATGCGATGTGTACCTCCGAGTGCCAGCAGGTGAGAGACAAAGCTCTTGCTCTTCGGAAAACATCTTGCCCTTGCCCCTTCCGTGCACAAAGTTCCTATGAGGCCCGACGCTCTTGGGGAAATTGGATTTGGAGGACGCCACTCCATCCGCCTTCATGTTAGTACACCCCATCCCTAGGGCCCACTGAACAGCAGCATTCGGAGCGAATCCGCTTTGGGACAGAGAGCCTGGAGCTGGAACTACGCTCCGATTCAAATTTCGTAAGTTTTCATTCATGCCCTGAAGCACCTCTAACATCTATGCCAAGAGATCATCGGAAGTATCCTGGCTCGTTTCTCTTCCTCTTTCAGCCATGCGTACCTGTACTCATGTACTAGTCAGTAAGTTAACTATCAAACCAGACAAATCAGCACATAACCACACAACAGTTCACTTAAACCACATAGTCCCATCAATTACAAGATACAAAGAAGCAAGTAAGGCCATACCCTAGGCCGCAGGACTAACTATGCTCTGATACCATGTTGTAACGACCCGATTTCTACCCTTGAAATTTTTTCGTTTATTTTAATCATTTCTTACATACATTCATCATCTTACTTAAAACCTTCAGGAATCATTCCTTAAAAATACTCTTTACGCATATTATATTATCATATAATTTAAATTGCAGAAAAACATAATTCATTCATTATTATTCTCATTGGGTACTAAGAGCCCAAAAGTTATAATACTCTAAATATAACAATACCCCTGGTTACGAATACCCAAATAAATGTCAGTCATGGTTACAATCATTCAAATCCACAAGTAGTCATTTAAAGTACAAAAACGCAAATAGTGAATCCAACGTCTAAAGCTCCTAAAGCTCCCGAACTAGCATACTCCATTCGTCTATTTACCTGCAATGGGATTATCAATGACAAAAGTACAAAACACACAAAGGAGTAAGTCGTTAATTCAATAAACGTCATTATAAGATAATCCACATTAGAAAAAGGGTTAGTAAACCAATTTCGAAATTCATTTTGTCTTGCTGCATAACTTGAGCCAAAGTCACTACACCACTCAGGGTTAGCTAAAAGCAGATTCTCATCCTTTTTACCAATAAAACACGCCTCATAAACTCGGGCCGAAGTGTTGCTACATAAACTCGAGCCGAAGTCGCTACACCCCTT